CACCTTTTATAAGTAAACCAGCAGCTAAAATGTGTTTTGTAAAGAGCTTGATCTTGGCACTGTAGATCAAGTGTTGAAGGTGCGCATTGCTAGTGTGGGATGCTCAGAGGGCTTGGGGAGAGAAATGTCCTGTTCCCAACTCCAAACCGGGTTTACTGAGGAGATAAACACTATGCTTGACTGGGTGAATTGTTTTTTCCATGAGCCCTAGTGAACTTGAAGGTAAAATAATGAGGAACCTTCCCAAGTAAAACCATAACATAAGTGACGGCAAGTGATTTCAGGGTTAGGTAACATTGTGCCTATTTTCTCATGTATATACACTCAGAAATAAGATTTCAATTTGTCACTTTAAAACCTGAGGAGCCTTGACAGTGCCCCACCAAATTTCAAAATGGCAACTATAGATACTGGAGTTTCTTAACCTATAGAAGGTATCTGCTGTTAATACAAATTTTTATTTTTTCTGCATAAGATAACAAAAATACCTATTGGCTGTTTTGCTGCTTAGCTGACTTTCTGACCTCTGCCTTTAAGCCTTGCCTAATTTGAAACTCATTACGGATTATCGTATCACATATCGCGATTTGCTGATAATATATTTTCCCATATCTTTTATTTTCTGTTTTCATAACTAAGTCGAACATGCACTGTCCACAACTGTTAGCTAGTATTTGATGAGCTGCTCTTTATGTCGTCTTTTTATTTCTCTTCCAGCTGCCTTTACCGTTTCTTAAACTATTTCATCCTATATAACACATTTAGGCCTAAGAGCTGAGGTTAAATGGTAGGTATAAAACCAGGTCTAGCATCTCTGCAGCTTGAACCTTGAATGACAGAAGTTTACCCAGGGAAGGAAATACACAGTATATTCTTGGTAAACTGGGTTCATAGTGAAGATTAATAATACTGGGGAAGAAAATTAATGGATTGAAAGATATTAAAGTGACTCTGCTGAAATGCTTTTAGGTTAAATAATATATTCGGAAAAGTCACTTTTGTTCTGTGGTAAGGTGGGAGCTATGTGTTAATTTCTTTTGTTCCTGGATCATTTTCTCTCGGAGGTGTCATCAGTTGAATTTTCAGTACTACATTGAAATGAATATTCATCACTGAGTTACAGCTTTTGAAAGATCTGTAGGGAAGAAGGAAAAAAAACCAAACCCAAACCCCTTTTCTTCTCCCTCTTTCTGCAGCTCTGAACATGCGCAGCTCCCTCTGGTTAGCAGAGCAGCCCGCAGCATCCGTGTGCTCCTGGGCATGGCCTTTCAGCTCTCCAGGTGTCCCCACAGGTACTGGTGGGACCACGGCTCCTAATGGGAGCTCAACACAAGCGTAAGAGTTTGCAGGGTTGGGGCCTAGAGGAACAGTGAGAAAAATAACATCCTGCTTGTCTCATAGCATGCTTGAGCTGGTGGCGAGAGGGGTAGCTCAGGTACTCCTTCATGGACGTGGGGGGTGCTGGAGCTCATTACAGTTGAGCTGTACATTTTGGGAGGTGGTGCAGTTACAAAGCAGCTTCAGGCTGCTGTGAGAAGAACTGCAGATAAGCAGAGCAAACCAAGTCTTCAAGTGCCCTACAAGCACAGGAAAAACCTGCACAATATCGGGAAAATGGGCAAAATGGCATTAGAGAGCGAGCGAAATACGGTGGCTATAGGACGCCGGGGGCAACAAGTTTAGGAAATATGAGTGAACTGTGGGGTATGTTACAGCTCTCACTGCGGAATAGCGTGGGTTTAAAAGTCCAATAGATAAAATGGAGTAATAGGGTGAATCTCTTGGCTGACAAGACAGGAGCTTTCAACCAACATTCTCTTTAAGAGATGTGTTTTAAAACCAATCTCAAGGGGATGAAGAATGATAAATTGCATAAGAGGTTAAAAACAAGGGGAAACTCTTTCACAAGGGTGAGACTGGGATGGTGCAGCTAAACCCTATCGAGAGCCCAAGGGATGGAGCCTCTGCATGGCTCTCAGCTCCTGCTGCTTCCACTGCAACCAGTGAAATGCTTTCGATGGGACATACAGTGTTTGTTTAGAAATAAAATTACCATGTTGTTAGGAACACTTCTGATTTTTTTTTAATCTTAACACAAATTCTTTACATTCTGTCTCAATGATACATGGAATTTTGGGCTCAGTGGGTAGTAAAAAGGCTGCATTTAGTGCCACACAGTGGTAAAAGAAATAATTTCAGTGAAGACGGATCACAGGAAACCTTTTAGATGCTAATACTAAACTTGGAAAAGGAAAAATACACTTAAAAAAATTAGGTTACACCAATCATCTGGTGGCAGGTATCACCTGAATTCCCTTGCCTGAGGATGGTTTATAGCACTAGCTAGCTAGATACGTAATATAAGAAATTTACCTCTGAAATTTATAATTGACTTCTTTTGCAATACGGAGAATGCTTTGCTCATTTGTAGCCTTGACAAAATAGCGAGGGATGTGATACTGGAATCTGCCAGCCCTTGCAGATGATGAGCTGCACAGCAGCCATTAGGCTGGGACATACTGGATGAGAGCTGTAAAGATACCTCAAACAATTGAAATTATATGGAGTAGTCTCTGAAAAAAAAGGCTAATTTGGGATCCTTGGGTTAGGAAGAATTTTGCACATTTTCATGATTAGTAGTTTTCTTGCTCAGGCAATGCAGAGAAGTGTTACTGTTGCCAATAAAGGAAGTGATGTTGGCTCTGCAAGTGTAATATATGTAATGCGATTCACCTCCAGCCACCCAGGAACTCAGCAACCCTCTGAGTGTTGTTCAGCCTGACTGTGTGCCGCAAGGATTTGGGGACAAGAAGGCAGGCCCCTGTTCAAAATGGTCAGCTGCAAGAGCTCCGTCTGTAGCAGTGCTGGAATGGGGAACAAACCCCTGCTGTCCCTTTCGGCGCACACACATATGCATGCTCCATCTTTTTCAAGCGATCTCTTGCACACAGAGATAATAATTTATGAAGGCTGTTAGAGAAAGAGGGATAACTGATCGTTAGTTTCATGTTGTATGTCCATGCTAAGCTGGGAATCTGTTCTCAGCAAGGTGCCAGGGAGAAGGCATGAACGTGGGCCACGCGCGCTACTTTTTCGGTCACATGTCAAGTATGGTCTCTGTCCGATTTAACCGTGACCCCAGGCTAACAGCACCCGTTGCAGTGCTGTTTGCAGCCGCACCAGTGGCTGCTTCCACTCGTAGCAGTCGCGGCTTTACCCCTTTTTGGGTGTGGGAACGCCTCTGCATGTGTCTGTGCCGGGTACGGTGCCGGTGTGTGTGGCAGCCACGCATAGTGTGAGGGGGACGGGAGACTCTGAGGTCTTACCGGGGTTGGAAGGCTCTGGTGGGGACAGCGCCATGCTCACCAAGGGCAGCACGGCCCCTGGATTGCAGTTGCTTGACCTGACCCAACAGTGCTGGGGCAGAGAAGAGCGTAGTCTTTCCCAAAGCAGCCAGCCACCACCTCCATTAAAGTGTGTCGGGACACCGCGCCCTTTGTATTAGGAATAAAGTTTTAAGTGGTGTTTAGTCCGTACAGCCAAACTGAGGAACCGATGGTGACTAGATGAAAGGACACTGTGAGGGTTAAAACAGGCTGAAATAATCTAAGAAGCCCAAACTTTTCCCAGTGGGTTCCCCAAAAGATGAATACACGTAAACCTATGTATGCTTGTACACACTTTTGAATGGGTTGAACCTGCGGTTTAACTTCAGACTCAGGAAACAGTGCAATGAAGTTCTTGCTCTGGCTCCTGATATGTGACTGTGATGAGTTAGCTCAATTGTAGCAGGCTTCAGCAAGAAGAGGAAAATGTTTTTGCAGTTAAAGCAGTGCTCTGCACCTACAGAGCTCTTGTTCCTACGTTTGCTGCGCTGCATGATCTCCCGGGGCCTCCAGCTGGAGCTGGAGCCCGGTACTGACACGCTGTGCAGCTGCAAAGGGAGTTGCGGCACCTCTACCTGCACAGCACCTTTGCAGTAGGAGAGGGAATGACTTCGCTCTTGGCGTAAGATAGGAATGGCACCAAACAGGACCGTTCTGAAGAAAAAGGAACTAGAATTGATGGTTTGGCAGTTTGCACTGGGATGCTCACCTGCAAAGGGCTTCAAAATACAGATTAGTTCCATCTCGCTCCAGCTGAAGAGTCACAGCTGATGTCTGTTGCCTGCTCCACTGAAAGCGCACTCTTCCACCTCTCTGCACAAATATTTTTCAGGTAAAGAAGCAATAATTGCTGCCATTAGTCTTGCTTCAGGCAAAAATATTATGGCATGCTATTTGGGGGGTATTTAAATTTATTTAAAATAAAACTTTTATAGTATACAACCCTACCTGCATTGCCAATGGTAGAGTAATATAATTATATTGTTACAAAAACCTTATTGTGCTATAGAAATCCGTATGATCTGGGTGAGATGCTTCACCAGCACATAAAACTGCACAGAGTGCTCCATGCTGCAAAAAAAAAAAAAGTGTTTGTGTTCGTCGTTTTTTTTTTAACCAAGATGGAGCCTTACATGGCAGCCCTGCAACAACCGCGCAGCTGTGGGTACCAAACAGGCTCAAAGGCGGCCCTGGTGAGATTGGTCCCAATACAGCCGTGGTGGCACATGCGTGGATTCAGGCTGCAGCCTCTGTCAGCTGAGGCTCAGTGGGCTGCATCCCAGAGATGCAGCTAATTCTTGGCTCCAGCAGCATTTACCCTTGTGCAGCCTCTGCACTGGGGTGAATATTGAGCCTTTTGGCTAAGAATGTAGTTTTAAAAAGCAGAGAAAGAGAGAAACTACTTGATATGAGTTAGTGGGAGCTGTTAAACCCAGGCTCTTCCACAAAGGAGCAGAAATTAACATTCACGACAGGGAATTAGGCACAGTAGGGTTTATTTTTACAGCCCAGCATGCTTGTAAACTGCATGGTGGTCCATGGAAGAAGTGAAGGGATCCATACCACTAGCATATGGAGCACAGGCAAAGACAGATTCTGTGAGCAGTTTGACAATTATTTGGCTGCTTTCTGCTCAAAGTACTGGTGACAGCAGCGAGTCAGGGCTGCCACGAAGATGACATATTCTTTAAAGTCCACGTGGGAATCGCCATTTTCATCCAGGTTCTTGAAGACTTTATCAATAGCATTCTTGTCCTTCCCTGACTGCAAAAGAGAAAGAGGTTGAGGTGAGAGGCGGCATGAACCCTAACGCAGCAGCATCGATACCTACACCCCGAACAAGGGCACTGGTGGGGCTCACCTCACCGATGTGTGTGTTGGGGGCTCCTGGGGAGCGTGAGGCTGATGCCAGCTTGGACACACTGTACCTTTCTGGGGGATACTGTGACCAAGTTGTCTGGGAGCTGGGGGTGTAATGGCTCCTGCACACAGCTCTGCCCAGAATGTTTTCTGCTAGGGAGACCTTTCTTTTTTTTTTTTTTTTTTTCCCCCTCCTCTTATCTTGTTTTGTGCATTGTATCTCTGAGTACCAAGCCATGAGTTCCTTTGCATCGTGTTTGGCCAAAACAACGACTCAGCACCCAGCACGAGACGTGGGACTGCGGGGGGCAGCTGTACCTCTGCCTGCCCGTCTCACTGGGAGCCCCACATCTCCTCCTCCGGCTGCCCGAAAAGCACAACCTTCCTACGGGCACTCGTGCCACCGCTGGCCACAGGCCCAGGCTGGGGGCTCTGGGTGACAGCGGGACCAAGCGCGAGTCCCAGCATCCTCGTGGCACAGGCGCAGACCCGCATCTTCCCACCCTCTGCACGGAGGCAGCGAGCACATCAACCCCCCTGCCACGAAATCATGTGCCCCACACATCACTCCACCCGAGAGCTGCGGTCCTGCAGCGGCACGGAGAGGCATGTTTTCTGCATTTAAACCAACATGTACCGTGATTAAAGCTGTGTAAGGCACAGCCCCCTGGGCATTGCCCAGCTGAACCAAACGCTGTGTGTTCCTCGTCCGCGCCCTTGGAAAGGCTCGCCTGGAGCTCGGGCAGTTGGCGGTTTTGCAAAATGATGCTTTCCTGGGGCAAATGTCAAATTTAAGCTTCATTAAACACCGCCGCCCCAGCAAAGAGGCAAAGAGCCTCAAAAGTGCTCCGAGTGCTCCCGCGGGCCTTGGTGCCCGGCACAGGCTGCTCGCAGGGGCTGGTGTCCAGGAAGGCACCTCCTGGCGCCAGTGCGCTGCTGAGCTTCAGTCACGGCAGCGGACAGTATCAGAAAAAATATATTTCTTTCAAAGTGGTTATGGATTGCCTGGACCAGCGCGTCTCGAGGCTGATGTTAAGCAAGACACCACCCAAGTAAAAAGAGATTTATTTTTTCTTAATTTTGTCAAAACAAGAAAAAAAGAAAGAAAGTGGGTTTTTGGGTTTTGTTGGGGGTTTTTTTGTTGCTGTTGTGGGTTTTTTTTGTTTGTTTTTTTTTTCCTAAAGTAGCTTACGGAGGGGCTTTTTGGCTTGAGTCCTGGCACCGATGATCTCGTGATTTTAGAAAATGCAGTTTTAAAAATAAACAGGGGATGGCAGTAGAGACCTATATAATACAGGAAACAACCGCGTGGATTTTCTTGAAGCTAAACAAAAAATGAATCTGACGTTATACTAGAAAGGAGTATCTCAACTTGTGGAAGATTTCCACAAATTTAAAATAATTACTACATTAATTGAAATCTGACGGCAATTCTTGATCATGATCTAATTAACTAAATTTCTCATTCTATAATTTCATGTTTCACTTTAAATATATGCACCTGTAAAATCAATAAAAATTGAACCAGATGAATGTGACTGGAAGGTTTTATTGCTTTTCACTTTGCAAATTACAATCAGTTTTAATTTTATAAGTGAAATTTTTAAATTATTTAGTGAAATGTATGAACTGGTTTTAGCCTGAATTACTTCTGAAATGCAGATATGGGAATTATTTTTCATAACTGAGTCCAATCCTTCAGTCCTGTGATACGGATTTATTTCTGCTTCTAATTGATTCAAGACCTTTCCAGGTAGTTGTGAGCTGTGTCAGCTATAACCAATCCTAAGACCAGAAATACACATGAGTATTTAAAAGACTCTTTCC